ACTAAAAGCCATTACTTCCCTTTCTAGGGACCAAAATGTTATCCCAGCTACTCTGGTGGCTCGTTGAATAACTTGGAGCAAGTCATGGAAGTGTTTGGTTTCTGTGAAATGGGCACACGGCTCAGTCTGGGGAACACAGTTACTGCCCACAGTGGTCCTGGACATTGATTCTGAGTTGCTGGGAAAACACTGCTTTGAACTGAAGAGCTGTTCAGGGAAAACAAAGCCCAGTCAGAGCAGCAGGATGAGCTAATGAAGCTGGGCCAGATCAATGAACTGAGCTCCCCACCAAGTGAACACCTCCAGCATTTGAATCGATCGCTCCAGTGCTTAAATCTCCTTTTTTTTGTTTCCTCTGATGGCAATTAACCACTGTCAGGGCAGTCCCCCAGCCCAGGGAGCTCTCTCTGGGGCAGTGTCCGTTAAGAGTGGTCTCTCACTTTGCTTTTTTCCCCTCCCCAGGGCCCCACAGCTCTGCACATCCAGCTGATCATGGAGCGCCTGCTGAGGAGGATCAACCGCACGGTGATCGGGATGAGCCGCCAGTCCCCCCACATCGTGAGAGCCTTTCACTTCCTCGCTTCTACCACTTCTTCACAGTGGAATTTATTCCCCTGGGAGGTTTCACTGTGTGGCAGTGGTTTATGGAATCACCTTTCCCTTTCCTGCAGGGCTTCTGTGCCACTCCCCCGTGGCTTTGGGTGGTTTGCCGAGGCCAGGGGTTGGGATCCGAGGTGTCCTGCTCCAGCTGCACCTTGAACTGATTCCCTGGGGGGTGATTTCCAGTCCCTTTGGGCCCTCGTGCACAGAGAAGTTGGTTTCAGGGCAGTTTCTAACTGCAGGCACGAGCAGTCTGCTGAAAAAATGCTCTTTTTGTCACCTTGGCTGAATAGGATTAAAAGCTGAGGGGTGACACATCCCTAAGGGGCATTTCTGACTGCTGGAGTACCTTACAAGGTGCAAGCACTTGGAATAGTTTGGTTTGCCCTGTATTTCATGCCCAGAAAGATGGCAAAAATCAAGAGCTGGGAGTATGTCTTATTTTTGATAACTCTGAAGTCGTGTTAATCTGTCCCCCGTGGGACTTGCAGCTGGCCAGGCTAAACCTGAAAATCAGAGGATGGGGCTGGAAAAGACCCTGAAAATCAGAGAATCAGGTTAGAAAAGACCCTGAAGATGTAATGAAGTAGTTTGTATGTACGTATATATATACACACACACATATATGTATATAGATATACATATATATATGTATATATACACACATATATATGTATATATACACACATATATATGTATATACACACACATGTATATGTATATACACACACACAAATATATATATGTGTATATATATATATACATGTGTATATATATACACATATATATGTATATATACACACACACATATATATGTATATATACACACACACACATATATATATTTAAAAAAATGCATGTTGGGAAGATGTGTTTCTCTTGCAAAATGTGATCCCTGAGGAGAAAGAAACCAACACCCAGACTTCATGGTTGGATTTTAGGAAGTCTTGGCTGGTTCAGAGGAGTGAAGAGAGTCCCAGGCTGATGTCAGGGCTCAGATGATGCAGGACTGTGCTCAGTGACATCGATGAGGTCACGCTCAGGACTGACAGGACAATAACCAGGGTTTTGTTTTTGCCATTGCAGGGGATTTTCGTGGCCTGCATGACAGCCATCCTGAGGCAGATGGATGATTTCCATTACAGCCATTACATCAAGACTTTCAAAACCAGGCAGGACATTATTGTAAGTCAGCCTGGCTGGGGAATGAGCTCAGTGCACAGCTCTGCTTTGGGAAGGTCACTCCAAATTCCTGGGTTGGGTTTGGGCTGCACATAAATCCATAAGGACAGATTAAGAGCCCTGCCACGGGAAACCTGCAGGCCAGGTTAAAAACTTCATTAATTGATAGGAGAACATTTTTATGGGTTTTTTTTGCAAATGTTTTATTTTTCTCTTATGCAGACTTGCTGTGGCAGTTTGAGCCACATTAGAAATCCAAAATCCAATTTCCAGGCTTCCCCACCCCTTCCCACAATTTATCCCAACACCAAAGAGAGAACTTTACAAGCTGGTCTCCAGGAAAGCCTATCACACTTGCCTAACCTTTCCAAGTATATTTTAAGATTGCAATAATGATATCTATTAAAAAAAGCTACAAGCTCTAGTGCATCCTAATGTGTGTTAATTTTTTATGAGCTTGATAAGTATTTCAGTTCAAATGCCTGGCATTTGAAACGTAAGAGGGGATAAACACAATGTACTAAAATCCCTCTGGCATTAAAAATGTTATTATCTCTGGATTTATTGAAGTTAATAGGAGTTTTGACTGAGTTACAAGTGAGTAAAGGTTGTAGTCATAACCACGCTGGGGTTGGATCAAGGGTTGGACTTGATGATTTCAGAGGTCCTTTCCAACCTGGCTGATTTTATGATTCTGTGATTAAACCACATCCATCAGCAGGAAGTCCTGGGCTCCTGATGCCACAGCCCCTGGGCATTTATTCTGGGGTGTTGTTGACTCAGAGCAGCATTTGTGGCATTGAGTAAAAACATGCTTAATGACTTATTTAAGTCAGGAGGCAGAAAAGGGAATGAAGATGGAAAGGAAAAGCGTTTTCCCCTCTCTGCCTCTCACTGTCTCTCCTTGTGCTCCTTTTCTCTTTACCTAATTCTTCCCCCTCCTCTAAAGTTTAATTAAATCCTTTAATCTTGCTTTAATGGGCAGCAGTGCAAATAGTTCCCCAAATGGTAACAGTTTTGTACAATTCACATCCCCAAAGACTTTCAGTATGACATCAGGTGAAACATTAGCTTTTGACTTTCAATATGACACCAGGTGAAAGATGAGCTTTTTATTTTTTTGAGGCCCTTAAAATGAACAGCTGTGCCCAGAGTTTTCTCCAAACTCCCCAAAATGGTCAAAACTAACATTAAAGCAAGTCCCTGGTGCACGACACAGCAGCTCTGTGGCTTTTTTTGCCCCCTTTATTCCTTGTTTTTGCTTGATTGTTGAAATACCAGCCTGGAGTTGTGTTCTGCCTGTGTCAAAACCCTCCAAAAAGGTTTGTAATTCATTTTGGACGTTTTTCTCCCCCGTGCAGTAGGAATTTTGCTTTCCATCTCTGGAGCAACACAGCCACCTACAGGTCACACTCCCTCCGTGTGGGCTCAGAGCTGCTTTTGCTCTCACCCAAATTATTTGTTGGGGAGGGAGAAAGAAACCAGAATCAGAAAATGAGCAGGAATTCTGCTGCTGTCTGAGCCAGGAAATGAGGGAGGGGTTGTGTGGAAACACTCTCCGAGGGGAGAAGGGTGTTGGGAAGGTAAATCTGAGGGATTTTGGGGGAAAAGGGGAGTTCAGGGCAGAGTTGAAACAAGTCTGATGTCGAGTGGCCCTCAATTCAGAATTTCTCCCTGCAAATTCGAGTTGAGGGAGGAGGAGGAGAACATCATAAATGAAGTTCAGGGGGAGGTTAAGCTGGTGCTCACAAAGCTCCCCTCGTGGGTTCAGTGGGTCTTGTTCTAGCAGAGCTTTCTGCATCTCCTGACTCAAATAGGAGAATATTCCTTCTGTGTTTCTCTGTGGCCACAGAAAGCTTCTGTATGAGGCCATATCAGGAGGGTGAATTGTTATTAATGTAATTATTAGAACTACCTGCTCATCGTTTAGAATTCCAGAATAGACTCACAGAATGGTTTGGGTTGGAAGGGACCTTAAAAATCATCTTGTTCCAACCTCCTGCCATGGGGCAGGGCTGGATTTAAACAGAAACTGATGGAAAATAACAATTTCTTATCTAATTTTTACACATCCTTAAATCTAATGAGCAAACCCACCTTTTGTAGTAGCTGTTCATACCAACAGCACGTTTTGTTTCACTGCAGTAATTGGCTTTATTTTTGCTGTTTGTTGGGGGGTTTTGTTGGCTCTGGTGTTTTGCAGCCCTGCTTTGCATCGTGGCTTGGTTGGTTTAACACTGTTAGGAGTTAATTCATCTCCTCAAGGTGCCCCTGTGTCGAGCCCAAACCTTTCCATCAAGCCCTGATTTAATAATGCCTGAAGGATTTTTCCTGAGGCAGCACCCAAAGCCCATTTCTCTCCCTCCATCACTTGCCAGTTTTTTCCAGCAAACTGTTCAGCTCCACAGAGGGTTTTTTTCTTTTTGCTGGGGATGATTTCAGGGGGGTGGTTTTTCCTGTGACCTTCTTTGTGTCCCTCTCATTTTTAATGCTGATGTGGTGTCGTTGTGGAGACTAAAATTGATTTCAGTGCTTTTATATCTGTAGAGACCACAATGTAGAGATCAATATTGTTGATATTCCCTTCTTTAGCTCATCTCTCTTCTTTTGCCTTTTCCTTTTTTTGCTCATTGCACAATTCAACCTTGCCTTGCCCAAGTCTTAAGTCTTGTTTGGAGCAGTTTGGAGAACATAAAAAGTGTCTTCTGTGCAATAATGCTCTAAATTATGTGTCTGACATCATGTTCACTCCCTGTCTTTAGGTGTCCTTCTTAAACTGGACCAGAAAAGACTTAACTAATGGAATTAAATAATAAATACATTATAATTTAGGTGTAATTTAGGTCTAATTTAGATAAAATAGAGGATCCTGCATAGAGCTGTTACACTGTCATCATTCAGGGCTTTGGAAACAAGTCCCTGAATATTGGTTTTGCTTTTTAATCCAGCTTGTGCACCAGGACTCCCTCCAACACAGCTTAATTCAAACCAGTAAAGACAGATTTAATTAAACAGCTCAACATGTCCTGTGGAATTATTTCTCCTGCTCTAATTGAGTGGATGGGATGTCAGAAGTAATTTAGTTATTGGAACACACCCACCCAATGAGAGCTCCCCCTTGGGAGCAGCAGGGTATTGATTGTTAATCAATGCAGTCGTTAATCAATGCACTTGCAAAGGTTTGCACTTCCCTGGGTTTTGATGTGGAGCCTGATGGGTTTTATTTTTGCAACAGGACTTCCTGATGGAAACATTCATCATGTTCAAGGACCTGATTGGAAAAAACGTGTATGCAGCTGACTGGATGGTCATGAACATGATGCAGAGCAGGTAGATATTTCTGTGTATTTGCTGCTGTTTGAAGTCTTACTTTGGAGCCCTTGTGGTTCTGACAGGAGAGGGACTCATACAGGCAGGTTGATTTTCTGTGACCATTTCTGGATGGTTTAAATCGGATTTCAGTGAATTGTGTTTCCTGGGCATTTCTGTTGGTGGCACTGGGAATCTCTCTCCTGTTTGTGGCTCTCATGCCCCACAAACCATGGGATCTTTCATCCAGCTGGAGAGTGGCCATAAATCAGAGAAGCCTTTCTGGTTCCAGCTTGGGGGGAATCCCATGGCAAACCTAAAGCCAGAGCTGGACAGTGTTTAACCACTCTGTCAGTGAACAAACTGCCCCTAATATCCAACCTGAACCTCCTCTGGTGTGACTTGAGGCCACTAAACCAAGGAATAACTTTCCCTGAACGTTCCTCCACTGGGAAAGAGGTGGAAGGGATTCTAGAGGAGTAAACCCAGAGCTGCAATGCCATTTCTTTGATTTCCAGAGCCAGCTTTTATGGATGCTTTTATCTTTTCAGGGTTTTCCTCAGGGCAGTGAACCAGTTCACCTCTGTCCTCAACCAGGCCTTCCTGGATCAAAAAAGTTTTGAACTCCAGGTAATCATCCCCGTTGTTCCTGGATTTTCTTGCAGCCCCCAGACCTGAAAGGCAGGAAGGACAAATAAATCCCACTGTCAACAGACCCACAGTGTTGATTTTCTTATTCACCAGCAGCACTGGGGGCTGTGCAGCTCTGTCGTGCTGGTTGTTGCTTTTCCTTTGTCTCCTCCTGTTTTATTTGAGCCCTGTTTCTCTTCCCCAGCTCTGGAATAACTATTTCCACTTGGCAGTGGCCTTCCTGACTCACGAGTCCCTCCAGCTGGAGACCTTCTCCCAGGCCAAACGCAGCAAAATCATCAAGAAGTGAGTTTGCATTTCAAACCTGCCCGAGCTTTTTGCTTCATTTGTTCTGCTCCAGATGTCCCCCTGAACCCTCAGGAGGAGAGGAGGTGCCAGGGAAGTGTTTAATTAATGAGGGATGATAAAGGGGTGACCAGGAGGGGTGATTGGGGGTGTCTGAGTCGGGGCAGACACATCCTGAGCTGTTGGAGTTGAACTCTTTGCAGTGTAAGGTCTGTGACAGGGGCTTGTCACAGCTCCCAAAATTCCCTCATGCAATGAATTCCACCCTGAATTTTGGGGGGGTTTGGTGTTTTTCCCCAAAGCTGACATGGAGAGAATGCATCAAGATTTAATGCTCAGGCTTCTTAAAGCAGGAAAAAGGTGGCAAACTACAGATGCTTTCATAAAAGTCTGTGTCAAGAACCTCAAAAGGTATTTGAGGGGCTTGTCACAGCTCCCAAAATTCCCTCAGCCTCTGTGGAAGGCAGGGGAGAGGAATCCTAAAACCCCTCCAGCTTTTCAGTCCCCCAGCTTTGGTTTTTTTCACGTCAGAGCCACTCACCCCCCAAAAGTAGGAATAAATACCCCAATTTCTCCTGACTGAGCAACTTCCACTTCTTCATTTAGTTGGAATCAAGTCCCTAAATACCTCTTGAGGTTCTTGACACAGACTTTTATGAAAGCATCTGTAGTTTGCCACCTTTTTCCTGCTTTAAGAAGCCTGAGCATTAAATCTTGATGCATTCTCTCCATGTCAGCAGTGAAAGTTTTGGGGAAAAACACCAAACCCCCCAAAATTCGGGGTGGAATTAATTGCATGAAGCAGCAGAGCTGCAGCTTTGTTGTGCCCTCAGAACTCTGCAATCTCCTGTCCCAGTGACACATGGCCATCTGTGGGTTTGCCATGGAATTCTTCAGGTAATTCCAATTCTCAGGCCTTTGTCACCTTTGCCTTTTAATCCTTTTTCCAGGTACGGGGACATGAGGAAAGAAATTGGCTTCAAAATCAGGGATATGTGGTACAACCTGGGTGAGTTCCAGCCAAAGAATGATCTTTTATTTGAGCTCTCAAGCTGGGCCTCAGATCCTTTATTTCTTTAGAGAAGCTGCACGTGTTTAATGTGGGGAAATGCACACAAAAATCCCTTTTCCTTTTGCTGGGAAGAACTTGCAAAAGCTGATTTTATTTTCTCACATCAGCTGCTGGGATGATGTTTTAGATTCCCTATAAAATGTTCTGCCATATAAAGGAAAAGTTGAATTTTTCAGACCCTTTGTGATTTGCAGTTCAGCTCAGTTATTTTCTCTACCCTTGCTGAACTGTGGAGCTGGGGGGGTGTTAATTCTGCTTTAAGTAGCCATTAACCACATAAAATACACATTCTGAGCACAATATTTGTGCTTCGTGGTCTTTATAATGTGCTTAAACATTCAGATATCCAAATCCTGCCCTGGGATGTCCA